AAAAAATAAGCATAATGTAATAAATTTTTCATTCGTTGTCGGGCCAAAGGGCGGAGCTTAAGTGTAAAACTCGTATTTCCCGACAAAAATTTACCATTTTAAACGTTTTAAATATCTTGAGGCGAAAAGAAGATTACGTATATTCAGAAAAAACAGCAAAATTTAAGCCCCGCCCACCCACCGCCATCTCAATTATAAACGATTTTTTTATTCGTTGTAAGCCTGAGGGCGGAGTTTAATTGCAAAATCCTTATTTCTCAACAAGAACTTACCATCTGAAACATGATGTTGTTGTTGAAAAAAACCTGTGTATATTAAGAAAAAAAGCAAGGATGGTTTTTTAAATAGCAATATTAGCATGCATTTGGATATTTTCAACTATACAATTTTTTTAGAATTTTTACACGACTTTCAAAAATGAAATTTTTTCGACAATTTTCGAAATTTATCTAAATACATTTTCTTATAGATTTCGGGCCGCAAAAGTCACTTCTGGCCTCATTTCTTCGAAAACCCCAACCGCTTTTCCAGAATCGCCCATTGAACAATCGCAATTATTAAGTATTTCAAAAAATTCGTTTTTCACGCCGAATACATATTTCGAAAATATTGCTCGCTATATTTTTGGAATCACTATATATTTTGACATTTTTCTTAATATACGTAGTCTTCTTTTCACAAACAAGGAACTTAAAACATGTTTAAAGTACTAAATTTTTGTAGGGAAATATAGATTTTGCAATTACGTTCCGCCTCTCGGCCGAACAACCAATGAAAAATTCATCACAATTGAAATCAGGGCGGGTGGGTGGGGTTTAATTTTTAGCTTTAGTTTTTACTTAATACATATAGTTTTCTTTGAACAACACGAAAGATTTTGCAATAAAGCTTTGCCCTCCGGCTCACAACGAACAAATAAAAATCGTCACAATTGAGACAGGGTGGGTGGGCGGGGCTTATGTTTGGCTCATTTTTTAGAAACATTACGAGCTTACTAGTGCTTTAGCCACAATTATATGACGTCACACAAGTGACTAAGAAACTATATATATGAGACATTTTTTTAACTCTGAACATATATACATATAAGAGCAAGTATGGTCTTATTAATCTCTATGTTCAGTTTTATAAAACATATCAATGCATTGAAAGTATGCAACCAATGTTACGTCAACCTACTTGATTAAGAAAATAAACTCTAGATGTCAACTTGTCATAAAATATTGCATAAATGTAAACAATACTGGATGCGTCGAGTATAAATACCGTAAAAAAAGAGAACAAATAATGTTTCAACTGAAGAAAAGAAGTTAAATAACTTATTATGTACAAAATACATTATTATTAATCAATAAAATAATAATAATAATAATAATAATAATAATAATAAACTTTCGAAACATGTTCTAAATTAAAACCAAATGATAGACAATCACTTCCCCGCGAGTGTTATTCTAAAAAGTTTCTGGCAATTGTAGAAATAATGAACTCCTTCATTTTACCAAAATATCTCACAAACTCGATCTCTTTTGAAAAACTTCATACAATTATCTACTGTGCAGCTTTAACTTGTATTCAAATTAACACATGTAAAGATAACATAATAAATACAAACAACAATCGCATACCCTCCACCCCTCATTGGGAAACACGGTTAAATTATAAAATTAATAACATTAGAAAACAACTGGGTCAAATAACACAGTACCTTAGAGGAGTTAAAACACCACACATCATGACATGTATGCATTCGATACTGACCAACAATAATTTTCATCAAACTGATTACGATGAGTACAACACAACACTATCAGAAATTAAAGATACACTATTACAAAAGCTTTCCTTATATAGCAAAAGACTTAAAAGATACAAACAATCACATCTCAGAAAAATTCATAACACTAAATTTTTAAACAACGAAAAACTATTCTATCAACATTTAACTAATTCATGCAAAACTCAATTATCCGGTGAACTACCAAGTTCACAAGATGTAACAACATTTTGGTCAAAACTTTGGTCTCAAGAATTTGAATTTAACCAATCTGCCAAATGGATTCCTCATATATATAATAAACTATCCACAGTTACACCAATGAATGATCATCAGATAACACTTGCCGAATTAATAAATACCATCAATAAGACACACAACTGGAAATCACCAGGACCAGACAAAATCCATAATTTTTGGATAAAAAAATTAAATTGTGTACATATTCATTTACTGCATCACTTAAATCAGTTCCTTCTTGACCCATCCTCTTTTCCAACATTCTTATGTCATGGTGTAACATACTTAAAACCTAAAGATAACGACACAAAAAATCCATCAAAATACAGACCTATCACATGTTTACCGACAATCTATAAAATATTAACCTCATGCATTACACAAAAAATATATCAACACTGTTTTAACTCTGACATCATTAATGAAGAACAGAAAGGATGTATTAAAGGATCCTTTGGCTGCAAAGAGCAATTAATCATAGATTCCATCATCTGTGAACAAGCTAGAAAAGAAAACCGAAACATATATACTGCTTTTATTGATTATAAGAAAGCTTACGATTCTGTCCCTCATTCCTGGCTATGCAAAATTCTGGAATTATACAAGATTGATACTAAAATCTGCACATTTCTCAAATGTTCCATGGAATTTTGGAAGACCACCCTCCAAATAACCTTAAATGAACAAACAATTCAGTCAGACCCAATAATGATCCGAAGAGGAATTTTTCAAGGCGATTCTCTTAGCCCGTTATGGTTCTGCTTAGCAATAAATCCCCTCTCCGATATCCTGAACAGCTGCAATTATGGGTTCAATATAAGAATTAACAAACAAAGAGAAAACAGAATAAGTCACTTGCTGTATATGGATGACATAAAAATATATGCAAGTACACAAAATCAGTTAACAAACCTATTAAATCTGACTGAACAATTTTCCGGTGATATCGGTATGTCCTTTGGTATTGAGAAATGTAAGACCCAAGCAATCAGAAAAGGCGTGTTTCACCAAGTACCACATATAACACAGAATAAGGAAATAATTGAAGCCCAAGAACGAAACGATACATACAAATATCTGGGTTTCTGTCAATCCTCCCACATCAATCATACCAAAACGAAAACACAGTTGAAAGATCAATACGTAGCGAGATTAAAATTAATATTGAAGACACAGTTAAATGGAAAAAATTTAATGAAAGCAGTAAATACATTCTGCGTTCCACTGCTAACATATTCTTTTGGAGTCATTAAATGGTCCAAAACTGATCTTGAAAATTTAAACATCGCAACAAGGAAAATCTTCACACAGTATAGAAGGCATCACCCAAAATCGTCGATTGAAAGATTCTCATTACCAAGACAGAATGGAGGAAGGGGTTTCCAGAACTTAGAAAACTTATATCAGAGACAAATCTCAGATTTGAAGAAGTATTTCTTGAAACGAGCGGAAAGAAATGAAATGTTTCGCACCATCACAAGAGCAGATTTGAACCACACACCCTTAAATCTGTCGAACACCGAAGAAATCCACACCCCCCAAACAATAGATAAAATAATAAGTGGGCTAAAACAAAAACAACTGCATGGAAAATTCTACAAAGACTTAGAAGAAAATCATGTCAATAAGAAGATGTCATTGATTTGGTTAAAAAAATCAAGTTTGTATGCCGAAACAGAAGGATTTGTGTTTGCTATTCAAGACCAAGTAATCAATACCAAGAATTATAGAAAATACATCATCAAAGATCCGAACATAAAAAACGACTGCTGTCGCCTATGCAAAGCAAAACCTGAAACGATCCAGCACATAATCTCTTCTTGCAGCATCCTAGCACAAACTGATTACAAAGCTAGACACGACAACGCAGCCAAAATCATTCACAAAGAATTAGCAACACTTATGAACTTAATCGAAGATACGACACCATATTACACTTACATTCCGTCTCCATTCCTTGAAAATAACAAATACAAATTATACTGGGATCGCACAATACTTACAGACTTAAACATTACAGCTAACAGACCAGACATCATACTTATCAAAAAACACACGAACGAAGCCATTCTCATTGACATTGCTATTCCTAACACAAACAACATTATTCAAACATACGACACCAAGATTTCAAAATATCTACAATTATCGATAGAAATGAAATCCATGTTGAATCTTAAAAAAATTTCAATTCTACCCCTAGTTATCTCTAATGTAGGTGTAGTTCCAAATAGCTTAGTTGAGGATTTAAAGTCTTTGCATTTGAATGATTCAATAATTGTCAAAATTCAAAAAGCTGTTTTGTTAGGAACATGTCATATTGTTCGTAAGTTTCTTGAACAGTCTGATCATGTCAGTCAGATTAGATTAGCACCAGTAGGTCAGAGTAGTGTAGGTCACTTTTCATGTGATGCGCGGATAAATGGTCGGTAGTTACGCTGGACTTTTGGGGATGGGGTGAGATTAGAGAATAATAGCAGACTAATTTGTATGCTGTAATTCTAGAATCTCTAAAGTTGTTCTGTTAATCTAATCAATGCATATCATTACTTGGTCTTAGTACCCGTAATGATAGAAGTCTTGCCTGAATGCCGGTCATTTCCGGGTCAGTGGTGGGTCTTAAAAATAATTATTATAAGAAAATTTCTACATGGTAATGTCTACATTAACTTCATTCCAACTGCTTTGGAATTTCTAAGTTATATATACAAAATCAGGTGCGTATTTGTGGCTTAAAACTGGTTATAGATGTGTGTATTGAAACACCACTTGTTGACAGTAAATTTGGCAACGTTTAAACAATGTTATAACTAAAAGTCGTTCCTAATCAATTGACAGCTGTTACCACTGTTACCAATTGCTTAATTTTAGGCAAAACCAACAAGTGGTGTTTCAGTAGAAATAGCAAAAACAATACGTACTTCCAATGCATGATGTATGTGTTTTAAAACTGAACATAGGGATTAAGCAAGGCCATACTTACTTTCATGTTCCGAGTTGAAAAATATATGCAGCAACATTCTGACCATCTATGTATTAACGATGGAACTGCTGTATAAACAACTTTTGACGGAATTTTTCATATACTTTTCCCACACCTTTTGATTTATGGCGATCGAAAAAACCTGTAGAAACTAAAACAACACAGGTTTTAATTTTTGACGTAGACGGACGTTAAACTTTCAAAAAGAAGTGACAATTACCGATACAAGATCTGTAAACAGAGAAGACGTACTGTGATGAAACTTTCGTCACTCCGATTTGACTATTTTTATTTTGACATTTGGCAACACATGTAACACAGTTTCTCTCTCTCCTTTTTCCACCACCACCATTCGCTATCTTTCCTTTCACTTCAAACCGACGCGTACGCACAACCACGAGAGGAAAATTTCAGAGGATTTTTTTAGTTAGTCCTTGAATTAGTCCAGTTTAGCGTTAGTGCTCCTGAGCGAAGCTGGAACCGTCCTAATTTTTTAGGCTAGCTGTCATTGGAGGCAGAGTCTCACAAGGTAAGGTTAAGTCAGTTCGTCCCCTGCGAATCCCCCCTACATTCATTGTCAACACCTTAGGACGCCCTTCCGTGCGAGGAAATGGTAAAACCTTCTCTTTTCCATACAATATCCACATAAATATTTATAGACTATGAAAAATTGCCAAGTTCAAGTTCCTTACTCTGTGATTTTCTCAGTTTAGTCGAATATGCGCTGGATAACGCACCTAGACGGCGGTCCCAAGCGGGTCAACCATGCGGCGGTCGCCGTGGGACACAAAGTATACTCATTCGGGGGTTATTGCACAGGAGAAGACTCCAAAGCGTACATTTCCATGGACGTCCACGTTCTCAACACCTCAACGTTCCGATGGACAAAGCATCCGGTGAGTGATTTGCCCTACTTCGAGAATGATGATATACTACCCTATAAACGATACGGACACACGGCCGTGGTGTATGAAGACAAGGTGTACATTTGGGGTGGGCGAAACGACAGGGCTTCAGATGGGGTATTGTTCTGTTTTGACACGACTTGGCACTGCTGGACGGCACCAAAGACAACGGGGGCGATTCCTTTACCAAGGGATGGACACACGGCGTGTTTATGGAAACACTATATGATCATTTTTGGAGGATATGAAGAGGAGACTGATTCTTTTGCAGATTCAGTGTACGCCCTGGATTTGAAGAAGATGGTTTGGTCGCATTTTAGGACAGAAGGTAGGGAATTAAGTATACATTATTGTCAATAAAATCAAGAAAGAAATATTATGGTGTAGTTATTTGTCAGATAATTTTTTGAAGGCATTTATGTACGCAAATTAAAAAAAATAAAATAGTATTACTGAGACAAACAACTTTGAATGCCATAGGTTTTTTTTCTAATCTATGCAATATTATTATAATTTTTATTGAAATAACGTCACTAACTTTTTGGTATAAGGTCAGTAGATTATGTCTAGACAAGCTATTTAAACATAAAAAGAATTCATATTGTAATATTTTTTGTGTGTACACTACTGAAGCATATTTCAAGCTATATTTTTCAATAAAAAGTGTCAATTCTTTTTATATAAGTTATTTATCTTTGAATATTTTTAATACTATTATTTGTGGTTTATTTATATATTGAAATGGTGTTTAAAGATCTAGTACGTGATACTGGTCAGAGTACAGGCTTACCCAAAAGCACAGGACAGCTGTAACGCATATTAAAATCTTAAAGTATAAGTAAGTCGTTACGGTATTGTACTCGATGGTCACGAATGAATTAAATTACTCGTATCAATTAGTGACTATAGGAAGTTAATGTTTTGTAAATGGAAACCCAAGGAACCTGGTTCAACCTTTTCAACAATGGAAAATTCAAACAACGTATGCAAATTCGACATTGTAAAATAATTTCTTTAAAAAAACATGACGATTCCGTGACAAATTAATTACGATCCTGTTTCTTAACGAAAAACCACTATTTATAAAAGAACTATTTTAAGAGTACAGTACACAATAAAAACTCGTCAGTAAATCTTTTCGGTACTCTCTGCCAAAAATACATCGACCTTGACAAGCTAAATACTAGAAATTTTAGGTCTGTAGGTCTAAACAATCAGTTCGGTCGCCCCAATTTTCCATTTAGTATTTTTAACTAAAACAACTGTCACCTCATCACTTTCAAAATAACGTTTTCGGGTTAATTCAAAGAATTTTTACAGGCTGCACACCAAGTTTGCGTGATTTCCACACGGCTGTCTGTATTAACAATCGAATGTACCTGTTTGGAGGACGCGGAGACTCGATATTACTCGGACAGGAATTTTACTGCAACATGTTGTGGTTCTTGGATCTGGAAAACTGCAGATGGGTTAAACCTGAAGTGACCGGTGAAGTACCTATAGGACGTAGAAGTCATTCAGCTTGTACGCAAGTTCCATTGTGTGTGTTTTTTTTTAATTTGAAGTATTTATAGTCGTTTACAACAAAAAAATGTACATATTTGGTGGATACAATAATTTAGAAGAGAAACATTTTAATGACATGTATGAATATGATCCTCAGACTAGTAGATGGAGTGTTGTTCATACAGTTGGTGATAAACCGTGTGAGAGGCGTAGACAGGCTTGTGTACTTGTAGGCGATAGGTTATTTCTTTTTGGGGGCACAAGGTATTTAAAAAATTTGAGTATGTGTTGCTTACTTGATTATAAAATTTCCAGTCCTCAAATACCTTATCTGCGTGAACCTCAAGAAGACAAACTCATTGATCATTGTGATTTATACATTCTAGATTTTAAACCCACGTTAAGATCGTTGTGTATTCTTACTGTCAGGAAACACAAACTCGACGAGTCGGTGTTACCCAACACTTTAAGGTACGTTTAAAACTAGTCAAAATTTACTAAATATCACGTTTTTTTTAGGATGGATATTATGAACATGTTTACTTCTAATAAAATAACCATCAGTCGACCAAATAAATCGGCGGGATAATCACCGTTGGAAACTTCGTTGTTGTTTTTTTTATATATATATATATTTGCTGATATTATAGGTTGTTCATATTTATACAATCCTACTTTGAATGTCTCGTTTCATTTGTTATTCATATGTGATCATCTAAATATGGCGCCGGGGACTAGGTCACGGTGTTATATTTAAACATAGTAAATAATACGTAGATTGCTCTCTCACTATTAGATTAGATTTTTTATTCATATTATTTTTCCAAGCGAGAGCATTCTAGAACAAAAATAAATTTTATTTTTGTTTAAAATAGGAGTCTACTACAGAACTTATCCACTTAGATCGAATGTAGGAAGGGCAACAGTGCTGCGATAATTTTTACATTCTCGTAATAATTACTTTAAAGTTGTTGCAGAAAATTGTGATGCCTATGCATAGCATGTAAATATGATTGTATCTATTTATTTTGTTTATATAATAAATATACTCATATTTGTACCTATTTGAATTTGAATATTTTAATAAACATGTTCAATTAAACTGGCGTTAATTATGATTAAAAATGATATGGACACTAATTGCATCTACGTGTTATGATATGTTATTTAAATTGATTGATAACTGGTAATTTTTAAGTTTAGAATTATTTGCATATTTTAAAATTTTTGCTGCATTTTTCCTGATAATTGGTGAAAATCTTAATTTTAATACAGTGGGTTATTGGTAGTATGCCGGTAAATAAGTACCGACCTTTTCCAGTAATGCGGACGGGTTTTTCCAACACCTCATTTATGGGCACCGCCAATTACTAGCGTATATTGTAAATATACACAGTTTTGCAAATGTATTTAACGAGGGGTTGGAAGAGATGGAATGCTATACCATTAAATAAAATATATGGTCAAAGCTGGAACCCCCTTAAAAGTATTCTATCCAAATTTGATTAATTGTATTTTTCTCGCCCACGGTGTGAACACAATATCGGAAGAAGCACGAAATCAATTTCCATTGGTAAATGAATTAATTTTCAATAGCCCCAAATTAAATCAGAACTACTTAAGTTTCATAAATAAAATCAATGTCAATAACAACTACGGAGTGCTCGTATATGTTTTCATTTGTCTTGGTGATGAAAAATGTACTCCTAATAAATTATTAAAATACATAAAAAAATAGAACCAAATTTTATTTATTTAAAAAAAATCTCGCAAAGGCAGGTTCCTCTTTCTTCTTAAATCAAATCGCAAATTTATTTTATTAATTTAATCAGGAGTTACAAAACCGAATACTTTGAAATCTTGGAAATCTTTTAAATTTATCATAAGCATGGTAAATTTTTGATCAAAATATATTTTCTCATCCCTCCTAAAAAATGGATGACGCCACCCCAAAATTTTGCTGAATAAATCCTATCTAAAATGTATAAAATATGATGAGTCTCTTCTTGTGATTTATCATTCCATTCATGTTGGATGACCCCAAAAATTAATGAATGCGTAAATTTATTTTATTGATTTAATCAGGAACTACACAACCCAATGCTTTGAAATCTTGCAAATGTTTTAAGGTTATAAAGAGCATAATAAATTTTTAGTCAAAATATATTTGCTTATCCCCACCAAAAAATTGATGACGTCAGCTCAAAAGTTTGCCGAATAATCCTATTTAAAATGTACAAAATATGATGAGTCTCTTCTTGTAATTTATCATTCCATTCATATTTTTTGGATTCGGATATACAGGGTGACAAAAAAATTTAATGAATGCGCAAATTTATTTTATTGATTTAATCAGGAACTACAAAACCAAATGCTTTGAAATCTAATGTGAAAAAAAACATAATAGGCATGCAGTCGTCACGTTTCCGATAGCGAGGGAGTACTGTCTAAACTCTTTAGACCGATTTTTTTTATTTTCCCATTTCTCAATTTTTCAATGTTTCAGTTTGGGATTTTTTCACTGTTTCGATTCCTTAATTTTCTTTCCATTTTTAGGTTTTTCAATATTTCAGCTTTGGAATTTTGCAATATTTCGTTTTTTCAATTTTTGATATTGTGTTTTCTCGGTTTTTAAATGTTTCGATATTTTAAATTTTCAGTTTTTAAAGTTTTAGGTTTTTAGATTTCTCACTATCTCGACTTTTCGATTTTTCAGTTCCATGATTTTTCAATTTGTCGAATTTTTAAATTGTAGATTTTTTGTTTTCTTTAATGTTTTGAGTTCTCGATCATTCGATTTTCTGAGTTTTCAGGCTTAGATTTTTTTTGTTGTTCAATTCTTGGATTTTTAAAATTTTCCTATTTATCAACTTATTACTGGGATTTCAATGTTTTGATTTTTTGATTGTTCAATTTCTCGATTTTTTGAATTTTTAATTTTTTATACGATTTTTTTTGCTCGATTTCGATTTCTCAATTTTTCGACATATTGTTGGGATTTTTCAATTTATCGATTCTTCGATTTCTCGAATCTTCATATTTTCGGTTTCTCGAATTTCTTCATTTTTCGATTTCTCAATTTTCCGATGTTTCAGTTTTACGATTTTTAAATTATTTTATTTTTCAGTTTTCAATTTTTGACGTTTCTAAATTTTTCGATTAACTGATTTTTTGATTTTCCCATTTCTCTATTTCTCGATTTTTCAATTCTTTCTTCAATTGTGATTTTTCAATTTTTCGATTTCTGAATTTTTCAATGTTCAGTTTTGGATTTTTTCACTTTTCCGATTCTTCAATTTTCTTTCCATTTTTCAGTTTTTCAAGATTTCAGTTTTGAATTTTTTCACTTTTTCGATTTTTCAATTTTCCTTCCATTTTTCAGTTTTTCAGTATTTAAGTTCTGGGATTTTGCAATGTTTCGGTTATTCAGTTTTTCGATAGGTAACTATTTTAATTTTTCAATTTTTAAGTTCCAGATTTTCCGTTAATTTTTTTGTTTTCCTTGATGTTTTGATTTGTCGATTATTCGATTTTTCAAGTTCTCGGTTTAGATTTTTTGGTTTTCCAATTCTTCGATTTTTAAATTGTTTAATTTTTAGATTGCTCAATTTCTCGATTTTTAGATTTTTCAATTTTTCGGTTTACCGATTTTTTTTCATTTAAAATGTTTCAATTTTTCAATTAACTTTTCGATTTTTCAATTTTGGTCTAATTTGATTTCTAAATTTTTTGATTTTTTGACTCTACTGTTAATGTTTTGATTTCTCGATGTTTCAGTTTTTGAACATTCCGATGTTTCGACTTTTTGGCTTTTCGAGTGTTCAATTTTTTGATTTTTGAATTTTAGATTTTTGTTTTTTTGATTTTTTTGGTGTTTCGATTTCCCAATTCTTCAATTTTTCGAATTTTTAAATTTTTAATTTTTCTTTTCTTTTATTTCTCAATTTTTGGATTTTTTAAAATTTTACACACAAGCACAAGGTCCTATTGCTCAAACAGTTTTAAAAAAACTAGACGAAGTCCTTAGTAAAAATGGAAGTTTTACGTACTAACTAGACTAACTAATGTGGCAAAAGTTTTAAATGGACAGTTTTGTCGATGTAGAGCGTTGTTTTTCAGTGTATAAATACATTTTAAGTGATCGAAGACATTCGTTTAAAATGGAAAATCAAGTAAAACACATTTTAATAAATGTAAATAATAATATTGTTGAAGAGAGTAACTAGTTAGTTAATAAAATAGCTAGTTAATCGAGTAATAGTTAGTTTTAATTTGTAAATGTGTAGTTTAAGTCCAATGTAATTTTTTTTGCATATTTCAGCAATTTTTTGCATATAAATCCGCATATTTACATATTTTTTTTTGCATATAATTCCGAGCTCTGCTCATTATAAACCAAGTTTTCAAACGTCCAAAAAAAATGACGAAACACATCAAAACCTAGTTAGGTGATGTCAGTGATGTTACCTGTGTTAGTTTTAATAAATTGAAAACTTCTTTGATTTCAATAAAATAGTTTGACAACACTGCTTGGCTTGACGTTTGACCAGTTTGACAGTTGACAGTTGACAGATAGTGAGGGTTGCGTCAAGTGTTTCAGAGACCAGGTTATAGTAAATATTTTTTTCTCAAAAACAAATCGTGAATGTAATTACTGTGATTGCCCAAGTACTATGTGATTGTATGTGTAAAACTGCCGTTTTATTTTTGTTTAATCGTGATGTCAAAAAGTGAGGTTACCTCGAACATGTCCCTCTCCATAGTCGACCAACTAGAAAACGAATGTTATCTTAAAAACCCAAATGACGCTTTAAACAATGAAGTGAAGTCAAAAATAGAAGAATTTTCAAACTGGTTTACCACGGCGCGTCTGTATTTGCTCAGATGCCCACCTGAGGAAAACGAAACCTTTATTTACCTCCTTCTCAACTTGAAGAAAAAACTCAAATTCGCGTTGTCAGAAATCAGTAAATCAGTCAGTTACACAAAGCAGACATTCACTTGTAATGTTTGTGCCGAAACTGTGGAGATTCAACCACAAGAAAACATCTGGAGCAAGCTTCAAGAGCATCCTCATTTCGAGGAAACTTACAACCAGCTTTATGAGTTCGATGACAACTTCGAGAACGGAGAGTCGTCAACAAATGACGACATTAGTGAAGATTTAAACCAGACGGTGCATACTGCGGAATCAACGAATGGCTTAAATGACTTCAAATTTAATTTCATAGTTACTTACGATCATAGGGTAGAGGAGGCTCTGTATCCGGAGCCTTTGATATTGGCTGCACGTCGCAGAGATAGCTTATCTGAATACACAATACAGCGGTGCGGGGTGGGACGAGGGAACTGCTTATTGTGTCCGTGCAGTTTGTTGTCGAGGGGTCGTGTTTCAAAAATTACATCTTTTGTTATAAAGAATCACTGTTCTGGGCAGAGGCACTTGAAGTATGCATCGAATCCTCTGAATACCAATGCACTCAAACAATATCACGAGTTTTGGAGGAGTCAGGATCCTAATTTTCAAGCTCATCAGTTACATTTTATTCCAGAACTTCCAGCTTTAAACTGCGTTAAATGTCAATTGTGTCAAGAAGTTGTTAATTACAACGTGGTCATTGAGCACATTAAAGATAAGTCTCATAGGAATAAAGTCTTGAAGATTTTTCCCATTCCTGAAGGAAAATTGACTGAATTTTATTTGTTGGACATGCAGGTAGAGGTTTATGGGGTTGTCGTGAATAATGTCAAGAAGGAAGAAATAGAAAAAGTGAAAGAAATGAAAAATGGAGGTTCTGGTGAGTTACTCTAGAGTTATTAAAGTTATTTCAGTAACACGTTTTTTAGCACCACCAAAATGTGTTACTGTCAAGTTTGTGGTTGACCCAAATGGCATAATGTTACCACCTAGACACAATGAGCACTTGGCTTTCTTAAAAAGGAACTTAGATGTGGTTACATGCATACTTTGTAAAATGAATTTTAAAAATGACAGAACAGACATAAGGAATCATATTTATAGTGCCCAACATAAGCAAGCATCTGGTGTTTCATATTCTAAGTATAACTTCTTTTGTGAAATTTGTAATGCTCATATTAAAGATGAGGTCGCTTGGGAGGATCATTTTATCAAAGGACCTAATAGGTGAGGTACATTTTTGTTTACAAAGTCATTTCTAAATTTAAATGATGATTCTCATTTCACTGTAAACATGTTTATTATCAGTAAGTACATCACTGCAGGCGATAATTTTAATCTATATATTGCACAAAGTTTATGTGTATTATTGCAATCGAGTTCGTCGGCCGACCGTCTACTTTTGCGTTTTCTCGACCTTTCATGACCCCTAGAGTACGAAGAAATAAGTTTCTCTGTCCCTCTGTCTGCCCGCCGTCCCGATTTTTATTAGACATCCGAAAGTACCGCCCCGGTTGTTATCAAATAAAACGCTAACCAAAATTTGTCTAATCATCCCCACCAATAATGTGATAACGTCACTTCAAAATTCAAAAAACAACATTGAAATCTTGTAGATGTTTTAAAGTTATGATAAGCATGATAAATGTCATTGATTAAATACATACAGGTAGACCCATCCTATTGTTTAGAGCAAATAAGAGATGGCGCACCAACATTTGGTCGTCAAACGACGGCACCCCCATAACAGCAACAAAACGATTCTTAAATCTACCACTCGATAGAGGGTGACGCAAAAATTTGTAAGAGTCTCGTAGTAAGTATTAAGATAATTTACAACGTTGGCAGATGAGCCTAACACAACTTTGTCATTATTTCGAGTCAATTAGATTTTATTTCGTTTAAAAGTTTCTGATAAACAAATGGGATTATTATAATGAATAAATAATACAAACAATTATTATTATTACTTGTTTTAATCCATCAGACGATTATTGGCTATGGCATACGTTTCCCGAAAAATCGTTGGTAATAAATTCAGTGAAGCATCTTTACGCCTCAATTCCTCTGCATAAATTGGCATTTTGAATAGAGGTCGTAGGAAAAAATTGTTATGGTTTTATGGTTTATGTACATAATTTACTTATTTACAGTGAATGTTTTTAATACATAAAAGAAAACACGATTATTATTTGAAGTAAAAATAAATAATACCAAGAACTTGTGCTATGTATTAAAAACATTCATTGTAAATAAGTGAATGTAAGTAAACCATAAAACCACAAATAATCTATTTTAACACAAATTATTCAAAAAAAAAACCTACATTTTCACTTACGAGTTGTAGATATAATTGTACTTACATCATAAAATGTGAAAGAAAATGACTTATTTTTGAGTTTATGCTGCATATTTTACCCGTTTTTTGACATATATTAATGCATATGTTTCGTCTTTGGTGTATATCCGCCTCTAGTGTATTAAATTTTCAAAAAAAGTATTGTAAACTTTGTGAAAACGATTTAAGATCATTTTTCTTTCTAATTATTAGTAACAAAAGCGAGCTCACCAACGCGTAAAAAAAATTCCAATGTGTTATATACATTTATTTTTACGTTTTCAATAGCATTAACAAGCATTTAAAACAGCAAGTAATAATTTGTTTGTATTATTTATTCATTATAATAATCCCATTTATTTATCAGAAACTTCTAAACGAAATAAGATCTAATTGACTCGAAATAACGGCAAAGTTGTGCCAGGCTCATCTGGCAACTTTGTAAATTATCTTAATGCTTACTATGAGCTTCTTACAAATTTTTTTCGTCGCCCTGTATCGAGTGGTAGATTTAAGAACCGTTTCGTTGCTGTTATGAGGGTTGCCTATGCGCGCGATTGGGGTACAAGCTATTCGACGGCGTTTGACGGCCAAATGTTGGTGCGCCATCTCTTATTCGCTGGCCTTCGCCCTATCTCAATTGTGATGATTTTTTTTTATTCGCAGTTAAAGATTAAGCCCCACTTTTACCCGCCCCGATCTCAATTGTGATGAATTTTTCATTTGTTATCAGACCGAGGGGCGGGGCGTAATTAGAAAATAAAAAAAGAGGTCTTCAGTTTTTGCTTCTCTGTCGTCTTTTCGTCTCTCTTTATCGTTTTTTCCTCACTTATTTGGTGAACATTTTTTATATTTTTCGTAGCCCTTTTTCGTGGGCTTTTGTTGTGGATTTTTTCTCGATTTCTTTTTGCATTTTTTGTTTCCCGTTTTTACCCTTTTTTAATAACTGTTTCAACTCCATTTCGTCGCCTTTTTGGAGGTTTTTCTCATTTATTTTTTGTCCCTTTTTCCTTTATAGATTTTTATTCACTTTTTGTGTCATTGTAATCTTTTTTTGTCGCTTTTTTTGTTTTTTGTTCCCTTTTTAGTCGCTATTTTGTTGTTTTATTGTTCGTTTTTTCTTGGCTTTTTTGTCTACAATTGCCTTTTTTTTGTTGTGTCTGTCTATCGTCTGTCTCTATCGACTTCTATTAGGTTCATAATTTCCGAAACTACTAGACCGATTATTGTGAAATTTTATAAGTGATTCAAGAATTTTAAGTACGTTTTAAGTTTATTCTAATGAAAGAAAGACATGTTTCTGAGTATTGTGTTGTTCAAAGAATTCTATGTACATTAAGACAAAAAGGCAAAAGATAAACCCCGCCCACCCACCCCATCTCGATTGTGATGATTTTTTTTATACTTAGAAACTTAAAACACATTTAAAATGGTAAATTTTTGTAAGAAAATATGGATTTAGGCAATTAGGCTCCTCCCCTAGGTCTACCAACGGTTTTCAATTTTTAGATATTACAATTTTAGGATTTTTCAATTTTTCGACTCTTCGAATTTTCGATTTCACTTTTTTTCATTTTTCAATTTTTCGATTTCTGTTTCCCGAATAATCACTTTCATTTCTCGATTTTTCAATTTTTTTAAATTCTCGATTTTTCGACTTGCGTTTTTCAGTTTTGGTTTTTCACTTTTGATTCTTCAATTTTTCTTCCACTTTTTAATTTTTCGGTATTTCAGCTTTGGGATTTTTCAAAATATCGTTTCTTCAATTTCACGATTTTTTCAACGTTTCAATTTTCGATCTCTCGATTTTTTACTTTTTCGATTTTCAATTTTTCAGTTTTTTGTAACTGGTCTAACCGTTAAATAAATTATTATTATTATTAATGTTTCTATTTCTCAATGTTTCGAATTTTACAAATTTTGAATTTTTCAGTTTGTTGATGTTTCAATTTTACGATCTTTCAATTTTTCGATTTCTCGGTTTTATATTTTTCGACTTCAATTTTTCGACTTTTAGATTTCTCGAATTTTCAATTTTTCGATTTCCCAATTTTTCTGTTTCAGTTTTGGCTTTTTTTAATTTTTCCATTCTTCAATTAATTTTTTTCCCATTTTTCAATTTTTTGATATTTCAATTTTGGAATTTTTCAATATTTCAATTCTCAATTTTTCAATTTTTGGATTACTCAATTTTTCACTTTTTCGATTTTTAAATTTTAGATTTTTCAGTTTTCCAATTTATGGATTTTTTCATGTTTCGAGTCCTTGGTTTTTCAATTTTTCCATTTTTTAATTTTTTAGTTTTTTTTTTTTTTCGATGTGAAACAATGGGGCGAAGCTTAACTGCAAAATACTTATTTCTTTACAAGAAATCAAAAACATGTTTTTGAGTATCGTATTCTTCAAATAATACTATGTACATTAAGACAAAAAGGCAAAATATAAACCCCGCCCACCCACCCCGTCTCGAATGTGATGATTTTTTTTATTCTCAGAAACTTAAAACGTGTTTAAAATGGTAATTTTTTGTAAGAAAATATGGATTTAGGCAATTAGGCTCCTCCCCTAGGTTTACCAACGGATTTCAATTTTTAGATAATACGATTTTAGGATTTTTCAATTTTTCGATTTTCCGATGTTTCAATATTACGGTTTCTCAATTTTTGATTATTCAATTTTTCGATTTCACAGTTTCCCGAATAAGCATTTTCATTTCTCGATTCCTCGACTTTTCAATTTTTTTTAATTTTCGATTTTTCGACTTCGGTTTTTCGGTTTTTCAATTTTTTTCGATGGTTCAGTTTTGGTTTTTCACTTTTTCGATTCTTCAGTTTTTCTTCCATTTTTCAATTTTTCCGTATTTCAGCTTTCAGATTTTTCACAATGTCGATTCTTCAATTTTTCGATTTTTTGACGTTTCAATTTTCGATCTATCGATTTTTTACTTTTTCGATTTTCAATTTTTCAGTTTTTTGTAACTGGTCTAACCGTTAAGTAAATCATTATTATTATTATTGATGTTTCTATTTCTCAATTTTTCGAATTTTTCGACTTCGATTTTTCGGCTTTTAGATTTTTCGAATTTTCAATTTTTCTGTTTTAGGCCCGGTTTTACAAATGTCCGGTTCAACACGAGTTCAACTGAACTTGAGTTCAACTGAACTGAGGTTCAATTCATGCGTCCGTTTTACAAACACCGCTATCGTCCGGTTCAGCTGAACCACAAATTTCCTTAGGTTGGTAGCGCGCACCCGAGAATCTGACAGTTGAGACCACGTTGGGTCTGTTTTGTTGTCATTATTTGTGTACGCCGATTCGAAGTTGTTTACATTATTATAAATTATTTGTGGTAAATTCTGCAAAGTAATTAGTTTTCTGCGTTTGTGGGGTACGTATATTTGTATATATAACATTTGCTCCTTAAAAGTAGATGATTATGATGGTTTTAACATTTCGTTTCAGATGAGTAATACACGTGCTCCGAATTTTACAAAATCCGAAGAAAACCTGCTCCTATCTTTAGTGAGCAAGTATAAAAATATTCTGGAGTGTAAATTGTCCAACACTGATGCAAATCAAAAAAAAAATCAGTGTTGGAAGAAAATTGAAGTAGAGTTCAATTCTTTATCTGGCCCGACCTTCCGGGACCACAAAGTTTTGAAAAAAAAGTACGATAGCATTAAGAAGAGGACAACGAAAAAATTTGCTGACGAGAAAGCCTATGTCGGTGGTACTGGGGGAGGGTCACAACAAAGTATTGAGGTCACCGATGTTGATGTGGCTGTAAAAGAAATTCTCGGGGCCAGACTAATGGGGCATAGCAGCGAATTTGATGGCGATTCCGAAACAACCTGTAAGAAGTATTTTTATGAATAATATGTATTGTAAAATTAAAATGTTGATGCTTTTCAGCATTCCAAAGTAACGGCGGGATAAATGTTGGTTGTCTCATCACCACGCCTGCCCATTTGGAAGAACAATGTACATCAATGTATAATCTCTCTGATGACGAAAATGATGGTAAATACTTTTTATTCTTACATACACTTTGTTCAGAAATCTTTTACTATTTTTTCTTTATTATTATTTATTTCAGATTGTTTTATGCCAAAAGATCAAACTGGAGCAATGTCGAGAGAAGTGCCTGTTATGGATAAAATAAGTTGTCCCAATAAAGAAAGTGGTAAACATTAATAATAATCAAATAATTAGTTTTGACTTGTACCTATGGTTATTTTTGTAGAAAATGGTCAAACTGGGAATTGGGCTAAATACACCCCCAAAATGTTGAAGCAAAAAAAATCTTCAGCACTCACTCCATATCATAGAGGTATTATATGTATATATATTTATATTAAAAAATGTTTGCCACTTGTCTTAAAACTTTATTAATGTATTGTTTGTATAGGTAAAGGAAACCAGACAAGTGATAAGTTAGAGCAATGGGCCGCTGCCAAAGAACTTGTCGAACTAAGTCGAAAGGAATACATCCAAAAGGAGCAAGAGTTTAAATTAAAAGCCATGAAAGAGAAACATGAATTAGAAATGCAAATTATGAGAGACAAAGCTGCAGTTGAATTAGAAGTAATCAAGAAAGAACACCAAATGAAGATTGAAATATTAATTGCCCAAAAATTTAATATTTTAAATAATAAAACTTAAATAAATAATTACATTACATTTTATTATTTACTGCAACTAAAAACAAAATCAAAAAATGCAAATTAGTAAAATATTCTCTGATGAACTGGTTCCGTACAAAATTGTTCTGATTATAATTGCCACTATATTCTCCAATGTTTTCAATTAGAACATCGTTCACAAAATTCACTGCTGCTTCTTCTGCGTCCACTGGCGGTTATTTTTCATTTAAAATAATTGCAATGTTGTGTAAAACTGCTGTTGCGACAACCACTGCCTCTACTTTACACATTTTTAAACGAATTCCAAAAGCCAATGCTGGAAAGCGTCTTTTCCACACCCCAAAACATTAATTATTTGAGAAGCTGTTGCTTTACTAATCCCTATAAAGTCACCAGCAACTTGCAGAAACGATCCAGTGGCAAGGAAACGTAAAGTCACAAGTAGCATTTGCTCCGATGATACTGCATGATTTCTTTCCGTTCGCCATGTAATTTGCTCCTGTATTTGTTGCAAAATAAACCGTACGCCAGTCTTGGAAAAACGAAATCGTTTAAAAAATTCCCCAGCATTTCACTTTTCAAAGTGATTTTCTCTCAATTGAAAAACTTTTGGTCGTCGCATACGTGCCGGTTCTAATATGTTTATCACTTCTAAAACGTCTTCATCGTCAGTTAAATACTCCTAATAAATTTTGCATCTTCAATTATAATGCTGTCACACCACCAAAACGATAAAGCACAGACGTTTGAGGTTATGGACAGTTGAGCGAAGCTTAAACCACCCTGACATCAGCGCTCAGCTGAGCCTTCGTTTGAGTGCGGTTTAACATTGAACTATGTATTGTAAAACGGACAACTGCAGTTGAACCAAGGCTTATCTTTGAACCTCGCTTAAGCTTGCATTGTAAAACCGGGCCTTAGTTGTGGATTTTTTTAATTTTTCAATTCTTCAGTTATTTTTTTTCCCATTTTTCAATTTTTGGATTACTCGATATTTCACTTTTTCGATTTTTAAATTTTAGATTTTTCAGTTTTCCAATTTATGGATTTTTTCATGTTTCGAGTCCGTGGTTTTTCAATTTTTCCATTTTTTAATTTTAATTTTTATTTTTTTTTCGATGTGAAATAATGGGGCGAAGCTTAACTGCAAAATACTTATTTCTTTACAAGAAACAAAAAACATGTTTTTGAGTATCGTGTTCTTCAAAGAATACTATGTACATTAAGTCAAAAAGACCAAATATAAACCCCGCCCACCCACCCCATCTCAATTGTGATGATTTTTTTATACTTAGAAATTTAAAACACGTTTAAAATGGTAAATTTTTGTAAGAAAATATGGATTTAGGCAATTAGGCTCCTCCTCTAGGACTACCAACGTTTTTCAATTTTTAGATTTTACAATTTTAGGATTTTTCAATTTTTCGACTCTTCAAATTTTCGATTTCTCAGTTCCGAATGATCATTTTCATTTCTCGATTTCTCGACTTTTCAATTTTTTTAATTTTCGATTTTTCAGTTTTGGTTTTTCACTTTTTGATTCTTCAATTTTTCGGTACTTCGGCTTTGGGATTTTTCAAAATGTCGATTCTTCTAATTTTCGATTTTTTTGACGTTTCAATTTTCGATCTCTCGATTTTTTACTTTTTCGATTTTCAATTTTTCAATTTTTGTAACTGGTCTAACCGTTAAATAAATCATTATTATTATTATTATTATTATTGATGTTTCTATTTCTCAATGTTTCAATTTTCCAGTTTGTTGATGTTTCAATTTAATGATCTTTCAATTTTTCGACTTCTCGGTTTTAGATTTTTCGACTTTTAGATTTCTCGAATTTTCAATTTTCGATTTCTCAATTTTTTGATATTTCAGTTTTGAGATTTTTCAATATTTCAATTCTCAATTTATCAATTTTTGGATTACTCGATTTTTCAGTTTTCCAATTTATTTATTCCATTTTTTAATTTTTAATTATTTTTTTTTATTCGATGTGAAATAATGGGGCGAAGCTTAACTACAAAATACTTTCAATTTTTCTGTTTCAGTTTTGGCTTTTTTTAATTTTTCCATTCTTCAGTTATTTTTTTCCCCATTTTTCACTTTTTGGATTACTCGATTTTTCACTTTTTCCATTTTTAAATTTTAGATTTTTCAGTTTTCCAATTTATGGATTTTTTCATGTTTCGAGTCCTTGGTTTTTCAATTTTTCCATATTTTAATTTTTTAATTTTTAATTTTTTTTTTTTTTCGATGTGAATCAATGGGGCAAAGCTTAACTGCAAAATACTTATTTCTTTACAAGAAATAAAAAACACGTTTTTGAGTATCGTGTTCTTCAAAGAATACTATGTACCTTACGACAAAAAGAAAAAATATAAACCCCGCCCACCCACCCCATCTCGATTGTGATGATTTTTTTTATACTTAGAAACTTAAAACACGTTTAAAATGGTAAATTTTTATACGAAAATATGGATTTAGGCAATTAGGCTCTTCCCCGAGGTCTACCAACGGTTTTCAATTTTCAGATATTACAATTTTAGGATTTTTCAATTTTTCGACTCTTCAAATTTTCGATTTCTCATTTTTTTTCATTTTTCAATTTTTCGATTTTCCGGTGTTTCAATCTTACGATTTCTCAATTTTTGATTCTTCAATTTTTCGATTTCTCAGTGTTCCCGAATAATCATTTTTATTTCTCGATTTCTCGACTTTTCAATTTTTTTTTATTTTCGATTTTTCAATTTTTGGTTTTTCACTTTTTGATTCTTCAATTTTTCGGTATTTCAGCTTTGGGATTTTTCAAAATGTCGATTCTACAATTTTTCAATTTTTTGACGCTTCAATTTTCGATCTCTAGATTTTTTACTTTTCGATTTTCAATTTTCCAGTTTTTTAAAACTGGTCTAAATCATTATTATTATTATTATTATTGATGTTAATATTTCTCAATTTTTCGAATTTTTCAAGTTCTAAAGTTTTCAGTTTGTTGATGTTTCAATTTAACGATCTTTCAATTTTTGACTTGACGGTTTTAGATTTCTGGAATTTTCAATTTTTCTATTTCAGTTTTGGCTTTTTTTAATATCTCCATTCTTCAATTAATTTTTTCCGCATTTTTCAATTTTTTGATATTTCAATTTTGGAATTTTTCAATATTTCAATTCTCAATTTTTCAATTTTTGGATTACTCGATTTTTCACTTTTTCGATTTTAAATTTTAGATTTTTCAGTTTTCCAATTTATGGATTTTTTCATGTTTCGAGTCCTTAGTTTTTCAATTTTTCTATATTTTAATTTTTTAGTTTTTTTTTTATTCGATGTGAAACAATGGGACGAAGCTTAATTGCAAAATACTTATTTCTTTACAAGAAATCAAAAACATGTTTTTGAGTATCGTGTTCTTCAAATAATACTATGTACATTAAGACAAAAAGGCAAAATATAAACCCCGCCCACCCACCCCGTCTCAATTGTGATGATTTTTTTATTCTTAGAAACTTAAAACGTGTTTAAAATGGTAATTTTTTGTAAGAAAATATGGATTTAGGCAATTAGGCTCCTCCCCTACGCCTACCAACTGTTTTCAATTTTTAAATATTACAATTTTAGGATTTTTCGATTTTTCGACTCTTCTAATTTTCGATTTCTCAGTTTTTTTCATTTTTCAATTTTTCGATGTTCCGATGTTTCAATCTTACGATTTCTCAATTTTCGACTCTTCGATTTTTCAATTTTTTTAAATTGTCGATTTTGCGACGTCGGTTTTTCGATTTTTCAATTTTTCGGTGTTTTAGCTTTGGGATTTTTCAAAATGCCAATTCTTCAATTTTTCGATTTTTTTTTTACATTTCAATTTTCAATCTCGATTTTTTACTTTTTCGATTTTTAATTTTTCAGTTTTTTGTAACTGGTCTAACCGTTAAATAAATCATTATTATTATTATTATTATTATTGAATTTAACGATCTTTCAATTTTTCGACTTCTCGGTTTTAAATTTTTCGACTTTTAAATTTTTCGATTTCTCAATTTTTCAGTTTTAGTTTTGACTTTTTTCAATTTTTTGATATTTGAGTTTTGGAATTTTTCAGTATTTCAATTCTCAATTTATCAATTTTTAATTACTCGATTTTTCACTTTTTCAATTTTTAAATTTTAGATTTTTCAGTTTTCCAATTTATGGATTTTTTTCATGTTTCGAGTCCTTGGTTTTTCAATTTTTCCATTTTTTAATTTTTAATTTTTTGTTATTCAATTGTGATGATTTTTTTATTCTTAGAAACTTAAAACACATTTAAAATGGTAAATTTTTGTGAGGAAATATGGATTTTGCAGTTAGACTCCGCCCCTCGGTCTAACAACGAATGAGAAATTCAAACAATTTAGCTAGAGATGGATATGGGTGCGGCTTAATTTTGACTTCTTTTGTGGGATCGGGTGGGTGGGCGGGGCGTATACTTGACGAATATATATTATAAAAAGCAATAACAATAATTACTTGTCAACAAAATTAATGCAATTTAACTTATTTAATGTAGGCACGACAGTATGCCCCAAGGAAGAAAGCAGAAAGTGGCCGAATACGAATGCAAAACCTGCATGACTGTAATCTACGGCGACGAAATGTCCCTGAAGCGACACAGTTCTCGAGGCGGCAAACCCGGCAGAGCAAAAGGTCTAATTTCCCGGTAAAACTACACCACTTTAACTTTGAATCTTGCAGAAGTCAAAATACCTTTCTCCGTGAAGAAGTTATTCGGGTCGACAAATTTCATCGACGATCAGGCGCGGTGTTTACAAGTTGAAGCGATTCAAGTCATTGATCATCAAAAGAAAATGCAAAAGTGCCTTGAAGACTTGGAAGAAGCGTTGCGAGGAATTTACCCGAATTGTAAAGCATATCCGTTCGGGTCGAGAATATCGGGACTAGGAAATCATGTATATGTTTAATGTATTGATTTAGCGTGTGTATTAGTAATTGTGGTTTTTGTAACAGCAAAGCGACTTGGATGTGTTCATGGACACCGGTGATATGTATTTGGGTACTAACTACCAAGACTCCCAAACTCAAGAGCAGTTTGTTAAAAAGGTTGCAAAGGTATTGAAAAGTTTCAAGGAAGATTTTTCTCATGTCCTTCCTATACCTTCAGCAAGAACTCCAATTGTTAAGGTACACCACAATTTTACCAAGTTAGACTGCGATATTTCGTTCAGACACGGATTAGGTGTTGAAAATACCAAATTCTTAAGGTGGTATTGGCCACTTTAACTGTTTCAATTTAATTTAAGCTCATTTCTAGGTTTTGTATTGACTTACAGCCAATCACGCAGCCTTTTATTCTGTTATTAAAAAAGTGGTCGGACTGTTGCAAACTTAACGAACACATAACGAATTATGGGCTTGCATTAATGGCTGTATTTTTCCTACAAACTAGTGGTTATTTGTTACCTGTCAAAACTGTGAGGAATTACAATCCTACTCAATCTTTAATAATAGACGGTAGTTTTGCACGACGGTACCAATTAAGATTGATATAGTGTTGTCGTTTTTTGTTTTTTAGGCTGGGATACGTTAAACTATACCGTCGCAATTGAAAGAATGAGGGAATTCGTGAAACCGTACAACGCAAACATAAAACAGTTGCTACGGGATTTCTTTTTTTATTTTTGTAAATTTGATTATGCTAATCAGGTTAGTTGCACTTTTTTCCATGGCGCTATATAAATTTACTGATTGATTTTTTTTTTTTAGGTAGTGTGTCCCCTGCTGGGTACCACTATCCCGAAGCTCCTTTTTAACGAAAAACCAGACGAAAACTTGCCTATAGAAATGAAAAGTTACATTCAAAGGATACAAAGCGAAAATGGCGAACAATTTCGTGGTTTGTCCCCATTTTGTATCCAGGATCCGTTTGATTTGAGCCACAACTTGACAAAGGCTTGCCAGCACGGCACGATAACGAAACTCAAGGCTTTTTGCACTTTGACCTATGAGTTTATAGACTCCATTGAATAAATTTCAAGTGCCTGAAGGGCCATGTCATTCATGGATGGCAATTTCATTGTAAATGTCTTTATAGTTTATAAACCGAATTACAGACATTAAATGGTAAACATACATATATTTTCTCAATTTATATACATAACATAATGTAATAAAACATAAAAAAATATTTACATGATTTATAAAATGTAGCAATACTGATGTCACAGGAATTAGGTGTTTTGAGTGCAACACCACTAGAATAATACTTAAAATTAATAAAATTATATACAGAATTAAATAAAAATAAATTACGATAACTAGCCGCAATACAAAATTATTGTCATCATTATTATCGAGATTTCGTGGTATTTAGATATCAGGATGGAGAATATTCAGTAGACTAACGTACGATCCGACGATGAATCCAATAAAACCGAATAATACAATACAGATGTCCTTCCATAAAATCCAGTTATTTTTTCCTAACTTGTCAGGCCAGAAGGTGACAATTTCGATTATAGGTGGAAAAATTAGCGCCAGCGCTGAACTACTGAAAGCACCGACAAGCGAAATAACGGCCCCCAAATTTGGTATAGCGATAGCTAAAGCAAACGTCGCAAATACTAGAAGTGTTCTAGTAGCGTGTTCCGCCAGTCGTTTTGACTGTTCAGTGTGGAAATATACTTTAATCCAAGGCCATACGATATTAAAAGGAACGTAGAACTGAAGACTGTATGACAAAAAAATCGCAATTGCCATCATCAAACGAACCGACTGTGCCAACCTACAAAAAAAAAACACCAATATTTTCAGTTTTAAGTGGTTTCAACTTACAATTCATTGGGTGGCAAAAGCAACGTCACACTTCCTAGAACTGCATTGTCGCCGTATTTGACGTAACCAAAGAAACCCACAGCTGTATACAGCGTTGCCACAATCACCATCCCGGTGTTAAGAACACCAGTCCATCCACTGAAATCCTGGGGGGATTTCATGTTGTTTTCCAACGGTAAAACCTTACAAATTCGTCAATCAAAACCCCAATACTGTTAATAATAATTAAACTTACAACTCCAATTCCCTCAAAAGCGTATATCGCGGTTCCAAAATACAGCGGCAATTGAGACCAACTAGAAAACGCTTTCACTGAAGAAGTATCTGGTAGATCTTGAAGCATATAAAAGAACGTTATGATCAAGCCGCTGCAAGTCAAAATCGAAGCAAACAAAGACGCCGGAGTCAGATATTTCAAATTCTTGACAAAGTTTAACAGGATCATTGGAATTAGGGTCATAAGTAGGTACCAATGAACGCTGATGTCAAAGAAGTAGTGCTTAACAACGTCGTGAAGATTCGCCGCCACGAAGACAAAGTACACACAGCAGAAACCTAACTGGGTAATGCAGAGGAACGAGTTGATCATCGTTCTGAAATAAAATTGAAAATAAGTAATATCACGATGTCAACCTATCTTACTTTGCTATTTTGCTAAATTTCTGTAACGATTCTGGTCCAGTTCTAAAAGCACTTTCGACGACATCGGCGAAACTCAAAGAGGGTTTTTGTGTTCGTTTGCACAATTCGTGGGAGCAACCCACCAGCATGTGCATGCAGTGGGTGCAAATAAAGCCCATGAACATGGTCCCGAAAAGTCCCACGACCCATCCGGCGTTGCGAAAAGCATCGGGCATCGCCAAGATTCCAGTACCAATGTTACCTTTCAACAAATGTATCATTGTGTCAAAGTTAGAAGTGGGATGTTCCAGTTTTCTGTTAAGCAAGGGATCTTCGGTGAAATCGTCGCCGGATGCGACGTTGTCCATATCAACCGACACATTTTCCGCCGCATCGCTGTCCAAAAGCCTTTGTTTTTCATCCTTGTCGCTTCTCGTCGGCTTTGCGAGTAACAATCTAGATTCCTGGACAAAAAGAAACGTGAATTCGTCAATTAATTACGCAACAATACCTTGCGCATCATTTTTTGTTTAAGTGCGAAACATATGGTGTACGATAACTACACATTTACACAGTTATCTACGTAGCCATTATTTTATGGCGGATATTTTTTTTACTGATAAGCGTTTTAAGCAATATTGCGCATTCAGAGTGTTTGTGTGCACTAACAATTTAGTATTTCCTATAAAAAAGTGGTACTCGTCAAACCAGTTGGTAAAAGTTAAATTCCTTGCAAAATATACAGATACATTGCATGTTATTCAACCTTATCGAAATTCTGGGGTCGTGTTTTATTGTGATAAGAACTGTCGTCGTAGCGTCTCATGGAGTCTTCCGATACGGATTATCTCAAAGACATGCAGCTGTTGTACTAATTTTCAAGAAATGTTATTGACTGATACGTAAATAATAACTTTACTAAAGTACATTAATTCCTACACGTATTGCGTACAGGACTAGTCACCAGTACCTACCTCAATTGATTATTTTGTAACAAATAATCTCTGTAGATAACACGACCGGAGTTGGGATTATTAGATCATCATTCCCAACTAAATTTCAAATTAATATTAACAATAATTTTTCACCAAAAGAACAGTCAGTTAATAAAAAAAAGTCTCATAAATCAGTACTCAGTCAGTGAAGTCAAACAACTTTTTTTAAATAATTATCGTCCTAATAACAATATTGAAAATAATAATATAAACATTACGTTTAACAACTTCTTTGAAACTTTTCTCCGGTGTTTTAATTTTGGTTATCCTGAGAAAAATATTAAGAAATTGAAGAATCGAAAAATTGAAAAATCCCAACACTGAAGTACGAAAAATTGAGTAATCGAAAAACTGAAAACCGAGATATTGAAAACTTGAAAAATCGATTAATCGACAAGCTGAAACATTAATAACACATCGAAAATTTGAAAAAGCGATTAATTAAAAAATCGAGAAAACGAAAAAATCGAAGACCTGAAAAATCATGAAATTAAAAAATTAGGAAATTGAAATGATGAGCATTTCGATATTCCGAAAAATTGGCAAATCGAAAAGCCGAAAAGTCCAAAAAATGAATGAAAAGCAATTGAGAATTTGAAAAGTGAAGAAGTCAAAAAATTGAAAATACGAAAAGTTGGAAATTGAAATATTAAAAAAAATTGAAAAACTGAAAAATCTAAAGCCAAAAACTCGAAAAATCTAAAGATCGAGAAATCGAACCGTCAAGAAACCTGAAAAATGTGAAATTTAAAAATTCGAAAAATTGAAAAATAAAAGTCGAAAAATTGAAAAATCATAAATCTGAAAAATCGAAAAACTGAAAAATCAAAACACTAAAAAGGCGAGAAATCGAAACATTGGAAAATCAAACAATAGATTAATCAAGAAATTGAGAAATTCAAAAATTGAAAATTTAGAAATGTCAAAATCGAAAAATAGGAAAATCGTAAAACTTTAACATCCGAAAATTGAGAATTCGAAAATTTGAGTAATCGAAAAATTTAAAATCGAGATATTGAAAGCTTGAAAAATCGAAAAATTGAGAAATCGAAAGTTGAAAAATTGAGAAATCGAAAGTTGAAAAATCGATTAATCGACAAGCTGAAACATTAATAAGACATCGAAAATTTGAAGAATCGAAACATTAAAAAAACGATAAATTAAAAAATCGAGAAAATGGAAAACTCGAAAGGCTCGACAAGCTGAAACATTAATAAGACATAGAAAATTTGAAAAATCGAAACATTAAAAAAGCGATAAATTAAAAAATGAAAAACATGAAAAAGCATGAAATTAAAAAATTGAAATGATGAACATTTCGATATTCCGAAAAATTGGCAAATCGAAAAGTCGAAAAATCTAAAGATCGAGGAATCGAAACGTCAAGAAACCTGAAAAATGTAAAATTTAAAAATTCGAAAAATGAAAAATTAAAGTCGAAAAATTGAAAAATCAAGACACTAAAAAGGCCAGAAATCGAGAAATGGGAAAATCAAACAATCGATTAATCAAGAAATTGAGAAATTCAAAAATTGGAAGAATTAAGAAATCGAAAAATTCCAACACTGAAGTATCGGAAACTTGAGTAATCGAAAAATTGAAAATCGAGATATTGAAAGCCTGAAAAATCGAAAAATTGAGAAATCGAAAGTTGAAAATTAATAAATCGAAAAGCCGAAACATTGAGAAATCGAAAAATTGATGCATCGAATTAAAAAAAATCCATAAATAAATTGAAAAATCGAGAAACTGATCAATTAAAAAATCGAAATCTCGATAAATCGAAAAATTGAAAAACTGAAAGAGTGAAAAATCTAAAACCAAGAAGTCGAAAAATCCAAAAATCGAGAAATCGAAAAGTCAAAAAACCTGAAAAATCTAAAATTTAAAAATTCGAAAAATTGAAAAATTCGAAAAATTGAAAAATCAAAAAGTCGAAAAATTGAAAAACAAAAAATCTGAAGAATTGAAAAACTGAAAAAACAAAACGTTGAAATGCCGAGAAATCAAGAAATGGGAAAATAAAAAAATCGATTAATCGGGAAATTGAGAAATCGAAAAATTGAAACTTTAGAAATGTCAAAAATTGAAAAATCGTAAAACTGAACATTGGAAAATTGAGAAATCGAAAGTTGAAAAATCGATTAATCGACAAGCTGAAACATTAATAAGACATCGAAAATTTGAAAAATCGAAACATTAAAAAAGCGATAAATTAAAAAATCGAAAACCTGAAAAATCATGAAATTAAAAAATTAGGAAATTGAAATGATGAACATTTCGATATTCTGAAAAATTGGCAAATCGAAAAGCCGAAGAGTCCAAAAATAACTGAAAAGCAATTGAGAATTTGAAAAGTGAAGAAGTCAAAATATTGAAAAATTGAGAAATCGAATAAACCAAACTTGAAAAAACGAAAAGTTAGAAATTGAAACATTAAAAAAAACTGAAATTAAAAAAAATCCATAAATAAATTGAAAAATCGAGAAACTGATCAATCAAAAAATCGAAATCTTGATAATTCCAGCAATCGAAAAATTGAAAAATCTAAAGCCAAAAAGTCGAAAAATCTAAAGATCGAGGAATCGAAACGGCAAGAAACCCGAAAAATGTAAAATTTAAAAATTCGAAAAATTGAAAAATCAAAAATCTGAAAAATCAAGACAGTGAAAAGGCAAGAAATCGAGAAATGGGAAAATCAAACAATCGATTAATCAAGAAATTGAGAAATTGAGAAATTCAAAAATTGAAAATTTAGAAATGTCAAAATCGAAAAATAGGAAAATCGTAAAACTTAACATCCGAAAATTGAGAAATCCAAAATTTGCAGAATTAAGAAACTGAAAAATCCCAACACAGTATTGAAAAGTAATCGAAAAATTGAAAAACAAGATATTGAAAGCTTGAAAAATTGAAGAATCGAAAAATTAAAAATTTGAAATTAAAAAAAAATCCATAAATTGAAAAATCGAGAAACTGATCAATCAAAAAATCGAAATCTTGATAATTCCAGCAATCGAAAAATTGAAAAATCTAAAGCCAAAAAGTCGAAAAATCTAAAGATCGAGGAATCGAAACGGCAAGAAACCCGAAAAATGTAAAATTTAAAAATTCGAAAAATTGAAAAATCAAAAATCTGAAAAATCAAGACACTAAAAAGGCAAGAAATCGAGAAATGGGAAAATCAAACAATCGATTAATCGAGAAATTGAGAAATTCGAAAATTGAAAATTTAGAAATGTCAAAATCGAAAAATAGGAAAATCGTAAAACTTTAACATCCGAAAATTGAGAAATCCAAAATTTGCAGAATTAAGAAATTGAAAAATCCCAACACAGTCTTGAAAATTTGAGTAATCGAAAAATTGAAAAACAAGATACTGAAAGCTCGAAAAATTGAAGAATCGAAAAGTTAAAAATTTGAAATAAAAAAAATCCATAAATAAATTGAAAAATCAAGAAACAGATCAATTAAAAAATCGAAATCTCGAGAAATCGAAAAATTGAAAAACTGAAAAAGTGAAAAATCTAAAACCAAGAAGTCGAAAAATCTAAAGATCGAGAAATCGAAAAGTCAAAAAACCTGAAAAATCTAAAATTTAAAAATTCGAAAAATTGAAAAATAGGCTCTGCCCCATAATTGCAAAATCCTTACTCCCTTGCAAAAATGTACCATTTTAACCATGTTTTAAGTTTCTTGTTGTGAAATGATGACTATGTATATTAAGAAAAAAAAAGCAAAATATAAGCTCCGCCCACCCGCCCTATCTCAATTGTGATGATTCCGTCGTGGGGGCGGAGCTTAACTGCAAAGTCCTTATTTTTTACGAGAAATTAAAAACATGTTTTTAAGTATGGTGTTATTCAAAGAATACTATGTATATTAAGAAAAAAATAAAGCCAAAGATTAAGCCCCACTCATACCTGCCCTGATCTAAATAATAATGAAGTTTTCATTCGTTGGTGGACCTAGGGGCGGAGTCTAATTGGAAAATAAATATTTTCGTACAAAAATTACCATTTTAAACGTGTTTTAAGTTTCTAAGAATAAAAAAAAATAATCGAAATCTCGATAAATCGAGAAATCGAAATTTTAAAGTTATTAGACATGGTAAATTAAAAATTAAATTTTCACATGAAGTTTTAAAAATACTTAATATGTAAATTTAATTCTAATACAAATTTAAATGTACTGTACAAAAAACTAAAACGGGAAGTTAATGCCCTAGTACAAACTGAGAAACAAAATTTGATAAACAAGTCTGACAATCAAAATAAAGCGTATTAGTTATCCACAAAAATAGCACGTTTTAGCATAAAGAATTAACACATTATACGTCAGCGCTAATGTAATTTACTTAAAAAAAAAAAAACAGACAACAACAATATTTACGCTTATGGACTTGGCCATGCAAGTAACAGTACGAGCTTGGAAGACTTTATGCATTTCTAATAATGGGTAAAAGGTAATATAAAATAATAGGTATAAATCAAGAGACGTACAACCATAACACGCATAACCCCCATATGTACAGTTGCGACAATAAAAAACTGGACCACTGTAACACAAGTACACAAAGTTTTAGTTATGTAATTTTTTTTATCATAAGAGCAATTTGAATGTACGTTCCTGGTTATCAACCAAAACACTAATTAAACCTTTTTTTTTTAATATTGAGTATATCAAAACTTAGTGATCCAGTTTTCTATAGCCACTACTGTATATTTTGCACATTTGACGAAAAATAACGAGTATCCATATTTTATTTCTGTATTTTTTTATATTGCATTCAAATATGTCTGACTTACACTTTTTTAATTAACGACCATGACCATGTTACTCAGTAAATAAAACGTTAACAAGTTTCAAATGTTAAACAATAAAATCTTCATAATTGGCATAAGATAATAAAGAAATATAAATTCCGCTGGCTTTAACCAGTTAAGCCCAACGGTTCCAGGTCATTTTTTTGTCACCCGTTCAAGTAATGAGTCGTTTTCTTGCTTATCACCCACACGAGGTTATCAGTTTATAATATTTTCCATTCCAATTATCCCCGACCTTCTATTAATTTCAATTTTTGCGTGATTAAGTTTAAGGGTGTCCGATTTAAAAGTTTTAAATGTGATAACCGTTTAAAAACAGATAGCTAAATTGTTTTGGATACAATTTCCATAGCGACGAAAATTATTCTTGTGGGTATAGGTCACGGTTGTATAGGTTTACTGAAAATAATAACTAACGCAAAATAGGTGATTATAAGTTTATAAATTCCCAACTGTGAATTTTTTTTTTCTGAAAACTCCACCGCCGATGTAAAATTTTAATAAAGGACCTAATCAACGTTAATGAAAAAATTCTTATATATCCTAAATAAATAATGATAGTGTTATTATTCATTCCAAACCAGCAGGCGATAAAAAAGTGTTTTATCAAAAAGTAAGTTTCCTCTCGGATTATCGCACATGAATGTAAAACATTTCCGATAAACTTTGTCCGGTTGAAATTTGTAATCCGAATGGCAAACATTCGATTACACCGATGTTTAAAATTGCTAATAACAAGCGCCGGTTAATTAAATCTTGATAAAAATTCAGAACCACTCAATAATTTCGATTACCATACGGCAACGATTTGGTGATGATTACGTGTGGAATAATCAAAAATTAAAGAATTTTTATCAAGTCCTTATCATTAGTTTATCTGGCTAGCTCTTGCATGTTGTGTGTCAAATTCTTGTGAAGTAATACAAACAGTGATTAGAACGCCGGAAATTTTCCATGATGGTTTAAAAGGGAACTGACGACAAACGAACGTAAAAACCGATATAAAAAAAGTCAACATCATCAATAGACAATAGTGTGAAATAATCACTAAAACCAAAAAAATGTAAAATGACTAAAAAGTGAATTTCATAATAAAAATTGAACAAGAATTTCTTCGTTGCAGTAAAACATTAAAGACACAGGTACAAGTTACGAAAATTAAAAAATATATAATACTTACACTATCGCAAGAGTTGATGGTTCCGTATTCCTTCTTCATTATTTCTACTATTTTCGTTTCTGTTTCTAGTCTGCCAGTGGTGGTATAATTATCACATGAGTGGTTGAATGATACTGACACAGTTGCTTGCACGCCTCTTTTAAAATTGTCATTATTGACGCTGACCCTCACCCCACCAACAAATCGTATTTGTTTATAAACTTTATCGTAATAAAAAAAAATAAATTTTATTCGACAAGAATTTAACACGTGTGCGTGGCTATCAATCCGTAATAAAATGTTACTGATAGAAGCTAAAAAAGTTGCGTAAATTTATAACGCAGAGTAAAAGGACTGAATCATTTCCAGAAATAACATCACCGCATTTTAACTGTTAATTTCGCAAAGGTTAAATATTTCTGATAGCATTGTTACCACTTCAGTATTTGAGAGGTCATTAGAAGAGGGGTGTTTTGACCACCCCTTCAAATTTAGTACATTGTGTTTAAGGTATCTGAGAGTTCACTGCAACTTTGACTCTTGACTTGATAAACCTGTTAGGTTTTACCACCCCATAAAATTTAGTACACTGTATCTAAGGTATTTGAAAGTTCATTGTAACTCTGACTCTTGACCTGATAAAGCTATCAACGAAATATTTAATTGCAACATAAAATTTTTTTTCAAATTATTTAATAGTCGAGATCGCCTTAATAACGCGTTTGACCGTGCGATAAATTCTCCCATGACCACTTTCTGCAACCAGCAGTACAGACATTGAACAGGTCATGTTTTGATACCGCAATCATTTTAACTAAATAAACAAAAACGTGTAGTGATAGTGCTCTAAAAAATAAATATTTACACTTATAGTTTTCATGCGACATCTACGTGCAGCAACCATTTAAAAATAGGTTATATTTACAGTCAGGGGCTGAAGTGGAGTCTCCGTTGACAAATTCATGGCTTTTGTTTTAGAAGATCACTAAAAGAAAAACCTTATATTATTTCTGTGTTTTAGCTACATTTATGTTGTGCTGTTTTGTTTGTTTACGAACGTCGCTAACATGTACCTAGAGCTGCCCTACTTTAAAGTTATAACCTCAAATTACATTCTGATGAGGTTAATTAATAGTTTTATGCTATGAGGGAAGGCCTAGATGTAACTGTTTCGACAATACTCACTGTTTCAGCTGTGGGAGTTTAATTGTTTACATTTACAAAATGGTATTTTTATTCCGTGTTTTTGACATTGAATGTGAATGTTATGTACAGATTGACATTTAGCATTTGACACTAGTGACTAGTGACAAGTTGGTGAATTTCTAGAACCTCTAACATGATGGTGGTCACACTGCAGTTAAATTTTTTAATTTTTATTATACAGTGCTTTATTTTTACCAAGCGCAAGCGAACTTTTGCGTTTTCTCAACCTTTCGTGTCCCCTATCCGATTTTTTTTTAGACAGATAATCTCCGAAAATACCAGTGGCGGCTCCTGACCTTTTGAAATAGGGGGGACACAAATTGTCACTTTTTAAAAAGTTGTCTAAAAATTGTCAAAAAATTCAGGGACGTAGATCTAGACACGCTGATTCCAAAAATATACCGTGTTAATGGTCACGGAGCAACAGTTTCGAAAAAATCGACATGAAATGCGAATTTGTAAAAAATTTCTAAATTTTCCATTTTTGGATGGTCGATTCTGGAAAAACGGTTGCTGTTATCGAAGAAACGAAGCCGGAAGTGAGTTCTAGAGTCCGAAATCTACAAGAAAATGTGTTTAGTAAAGTTTCGAAAATGTCAAATTTTGGCCGAAATTTGAAGAAGGGGAGAACATTGGAAAACTTTCACTTTTAAAAAAGTCGTCTCAAACTTCTGATAAAATTCAGGGACGTAGATCTCGACACGCTGATTCCAAAAATATAGCGTGTTAATGGTCACGGAGCAACAGTTTCGAAAAAATCGACATGAAATGCGAATTTGTAAATTTTCGATTTGTCGATGGTCGATTCTGGAAAAACGGTTACTGCTATCAGAGAAACGAGGCCGGAAGTGAGTTTTAGAGTTCGAAATCTACAAGAAAATATATTTAGTAAAGTTTCGATAATGTCAAATTTTGGCCGAAATTTGAAGAAGGGGGGACCATTGGAAAAATTTCACTTTTAAAAAAGTCGTCAAAAAATTCAGAAACGTAGATCTCGACACGCTGATTCCAAAAATATAGCGTGTTAATAGTCAATGAGCAACAGTTTCGAAAAAATCGACATGAAATGCGAATTTGTGAAAATTTCTAAATTTTCGATTTTTCGATGGTCGATTCTGGAAAAACAGTTACTGCTATCAGAGAAACGAAGCCGGAAGTGAGTTCTAGAGTCCGAAATCTACAAGAAAATGTGTTTAGTTAAGTTTCGAAAAGTCAAATTTTGGCCGAAATTTCAAGAAGGGGGGACCATTGGAAAAATTTCACTTTTAAAAAAGTCGTGTGACAATTCTAAAAAGATTCAGGAACGTAGATCTCGACACGCTTATTCAAAAAATTTAGCGTCTTAATGGTCACGGCGCAACAGTTTCGATAAAATCGACATGAAATGCGAATTTGTGAAAATTTCCAAATTTTCGATTTTTCGATGGTCGATTCTGGAAAAACGGTTGCTGCTATCAGAGAAACGAAGCCGGAAGTGAGTTCTAGAGTCCGAAATCTACAAGAAAATGTGTTTAGTTAAGTTTCGAAAATGTCAAATTTTGGCTGAAATTTGAAGAAGGGGGACCATTGGAAAAATTTCACTTTTAAAAAAGTCGTCTAAAAATTCTGAAAAAATTCAGGGACGTAGATCTCGACACGCCGATTCCAAAAATATAGCGTCTTAATGGTCACGGAGCAACAGTTTCGAAAAAATCGACATGAAATGCGAATTTGTGAAAATTTCAAAATTTTCGATTTTTCGATGGTCGATTCTGGAAAAACGGTTACTGCTATCAGAGAAACGAGGCCGGAAGTGAGTTTTAGAGTTCGAAATCTACAAGAAAATGTATTTGGTTAAGTTTCGAAAATGTCAAATTTTGGCCGAAATTTGAAGAAGGGGGGACCATTGGAAAAATTTCACTTTTAAAAAAGTCGTCTAAAAATTCTGAAAAAATTCACGGACGTAGATCTCGACACGCTGATTCCAAAAATATAGCGTCTTAATGGTCACGGAGCAACAGTTTCGAAAAAATCGACATGAAATGCGAATTTGTGAAAATTTCTAAATTTTCGATTTTTCGATAGTCGATTCTGGAAAAACGGTTACTGCTATCAGAGAAACGAGGCCGGAAGTGGGTTTTAGAGTTCGAAATCTACAAGAAAATGTGTTTAGTTAAGTTTCGAAAATGTCAAATTTTGGCCGCAATTTGAAGAAGGGGGGACCATTGGAAATATTTCACTTTTAAAAAAGTCGTCTAAAAATTCTGAAAAAATTCAGGGACGTAGATCTCAAATCGCTGATTCTAAAAATATAGCGTCTTAATGGTCACGGAGCAATAGTTTCGAAAAAATCGCCATAAAACGCGAATTTGCGAAAATTTCTAAATTTTCGATTTTTCGATGGTCGATTCTGGAAAAACGGTCGCTGCTGTCAGAGAAACGAGGCCGGAAGTGAGTTTTAGAGTTCGAAATCTACAAAAAAATGTATTTAGTTAAGTTTCGAAAAGGTCAAATTTTGGCCGAAATTTGAAGAAGTGGAAAAATTGGAAAAATTTCACTTTTAAAAAAGCCGTCTAAAAATTCTGAAAAAATTCAGGGACGTAGATCTCGACACGCTGATTCCAAAAATATAGCGTCTTAATGGTCACGGAGCAACAGTTTCGAAAAAATCGACATGAAATGCGAATTTGTGAAAATTTCTAAATTTTCGATTTTTCGATGGTCGATTCTGGAAAAACGGTTGCTGCTATCAGAGAAACGAAGCCGGAAGTGAGTTCTAGAGTCCGAAATCTACAAGAAAATGTGTTTAGTTAAGTTTCGAAAATGTCAAATTTTGGCCGAAATTTGAAGAAGGGGGGACCATTGGAAAAATTTCACTTTTAAAAAAGTCGTCTAAAAATTCTGAAAAAATTCAGGGACGTAGATCTCAAATCGCTGATTCTAAAAATATAGCGTGTTAATGGTCACGGAGCAACAGTTTCGAAAAAATCGACATGAAATGCGAATTTGTGAAAATTTCTAAATTTTCAATTTTTCGATGGTCGATTCTGGAAAAACGGTTACTGCTATCAGAGAAATGAGGCCGGAAGTGAGTTTTAGAGTTCGAAATCTACAAGAAAATGTATTTAGTAAAGTTTCGAAAATGTCAAATTTTGGCCGAAATTTGAAGAAGGGGGGACCATTGGAGAAATTTCACTTTTAAAAAAGTCGTCTAAAAATTTTGAAAAAATTCAGAAACGTAGATCTCGACACGCTGATTTCAAAAATATAGCGTGTTAATGGTCAAGGAGCAACAGTTTCGAAAAAATCGACATGAAATGCGAATTTGAAGAAATTTCTAAATTTTCCATTTTTGGATGGTCGATTCTGGAAAAATAGTTGCCGCTATCAGGGAAACGAGGCCGTAAGTGAGTTTTAGATTCCGAAATCTACAAGAAAATGTGTTTATTTAAGTTTCGAAAATGTCAAATTTTGGCCGAAATTTGAAGAAGGGGGGACCATTGGAAGAAATTCACGTTTAAAAAAGTCGTCTTAAAATTCTGAAAAAATTCGTGGACGTAGATCTCGACACGCTGATTCCAAAAATTTAGCGTGTTAATGGTCACGGAGCAACAGTTTCGAAAAAATCGACATGAAATGCGAATTTGTGAAAATTTCTAAATTTTCGATTTTTCGATGGTCGATTCTGGAAAAACGGCTGCTGTTATCGAACAAACAAGGCCGGAACTGAGTTTTATAGTTCGAAATCTACAAGAAAATGTATTTAGTTAAGTTTCGAAAATGTCAAATTTTGGCCGAAATTTGAAGAAGGGGGGATCATTGGAAAAATTTCACTTTTAAAAAAGTCGTCAAAAAATTCTGAAAAAATTCAGAAACGTAGATCTCGACACGCTGATTTCAAAAATATAGCGTGTTAATGGTCAAGGAGCAACAGTTTCGAAAAAATCTACATGAAATGCGAATTTGAAGAAATTTCTAAATTTTCCATTTTTGGATGGTCGATTCTGGAAAAATAGTTGCCGCTATCAGGGAAACGAGGCCGGAAGTGAGTTTTAGATTCCGAAATCTACAAGAAAATGTGTTTATTTAAGTTTCGAAAATGTCAAATTTTGGCCGAAATTTGAAGAAGGGGGGACCATTGGAAGAAATTCACGTTTAAAAAAGTCGTCTTAAAATTCTGAAAAAATTCGTGGACGTAGATCTCGACACGCTGATTCCAAAAATTTAGCGTGTTAATGGTCACGGAGCAACAGTTTCGAAAAAATCGACATGAAATGCGAATTTGTGAAAATTTCTAAATTTTCGATTTTTCGATGGTCGATTCTGGAAAAACGGCTGCTGTTATCGAACAAACAAGGCCGGAACTGAGTTTTATAGTTCGAAATCTACAAGAAAATGTATTTAGTTAAGTTTCGAAAATGTCAAATTTTGGCCGAAATTTGAAGAAGGGGGGATCATTGGAAAAATTTCACTTTTAAAAAAGTCGTCAAAAAATTCTGAAAAAATTCAGAAACGTAGATCTCGACACGCTGATTTCAAAAATATAGCGTGTTAATGGTCAAGGAGCAACAGTTTCGAAAAAATCTACATGAAATGCGAATTTGTGAAAATTTCTAAATTTTCGATTTTTCGATGGTCAATTCTGGAAAAACGGTTGCTGCCATCAGAGAAACGAGACCGGAAGTGAATTTTAGATTTCGAAATCTACAAGAAAATGTATTTAGTTAAGTTTCGAAAATGTCAAATTTTGGCCGAAATTTGAAGAAGGGGGGAC